TGAACAGTGATAAAAGGAGTTCTTACAGGTGGATGAGCAGCGTCTTAAGGCTTAATTCAAACACTTAGAACTTCTCCTGCAGCTGCTGAACACCTGACCTCCATCTGATCTTTTGTTATTGAATTCATTCCAGGTGCAAATCGTATCTGCTGTGCTTTTAGCAAAAAACGTGTACTCATTTATTACAAGATTGCACTTGAAATGCTTCAGTGTGAGTTCATTAGCTGCACCTTCACAGAGGCCACATCTGCCTCACTTAAGACTCTTTGAGACTAGTTCAATGTAGTTGTTGCTTCCGTCATTGCTTCACCAAACTCCTGTTGAAGCCTGACATGATACTGTACTTTGAAATAAAGAATATTTTGGTACATTTGTCCTCCGGTTGCTCTCAGCTTTGCTTCAGCAGGTTTGGATCTTCACACTTTAAGCTGCAGGCGTCGCAGCTGTTCCTCCTTTTCCTCCTCACTTCGTTCCTGGAAGTTTACCTGGTCACGCTTCATGCTCCTCTGACTCTGACATCTGAAGATCCCCCGGGTGGAAACTCAGCCTGCTGCCCTCTGGAGCCTCCGCTGACCTTAAAGTCCAGACAGACGTCTTCCTGTCGGGGTCTAACCGGAGCTGAGAGGCTGTTAGAGAGGGGGGGGGTCCCAGAGGGGGGGGTCCCATGTGGATTTGTAAATGTTAGGAAGATATCACAACAAGCTCAAGGAGGGAAACTGTCACTGTGGCATTTATAATGACAGCAGATCATGTACCTTGTGTTTGTGTTGTGATTTAGTTCAAACGAGGATGAGAGACAAAAGTTAGTCAGTAAGTCAGTAAGTTAGGTGGCTGGTTGGTTTGTTATTTATTCAGTTAGTCATTTGGTTGGTAGGTCGTTTGGTAAGCTAGATCAGGGGTTCCCAACCTTTTTTCCCAAGAGCCCCCCCAAATGACCCATGTTGGAAGTTGCGCCCCCCCCCCCCCCCACACACACACACACACAACGCAACAGCGGTAATTAAAGTGTAAAAGTCTCAAAAATGCTACAACTACTGTCACAAACTGGATGAATGTGATGTATTGTGTTAAAGGAGGATGAAAGCTTAATCAAGGAGCACTGTTGGAGTGACTTTGATGGTTATTGGACTCAGGATTCATTCATTTGGATTCCCGCTGTATGAAGAAATGAAAGGACGGCGGAAGTGGAAAAAATTCACAAAGGGATTAAACTGTTTAAAACACATGCTCAAAGTAAGCCGGATTTTGCCGATGTGTTTATGTGGATTAAAAAGTCGTAAATAATCTACAAAATGGAGGAGACCGATCTGATCGGAGCAACTGTGAAAAATCATCCAACTGAAACCGGCATGGACAATGACTATGCTTTAAAAATGCGCTTATCCAGACGAGCCTGGTTTGGACACTTTACGGGCAGAAGAAACATTTCTATTAAAGAATTATACATTTCTTTCTTTTTATGCCTTTAATACTAACTTCAATTTTTATTCAAATTAATTAATCAATTATTTTTTATATTTTATTGTAATGTAGAGACAAGGCTTTTAGTGACAATCATGTATTGCCTTACAATTATATGTAAAAAAAAAAAAGTCTAAATATGATATTTGGCCTCAAATCATCTGAGGCCTGGCGCCCCCCCTGCGATCTTTGGCGCCCCCCCCTGCGCCCCCCAGGTTGGGAACCACTGATCTAGATGGTTGGTTCGATGGTTGTTTAGTAATTTGCTTTGTTAGTAAATTAGTTGGTTGGTCGTTTGATTGGCTGGTTATTTAGTCAGTTACTCATTTGGTTGATTGGTTATTTAGTCAGTTACTCATTTGGTTGGCTGGTTGGTTGGTTGGTTGGTTGGTTGGTTGGTTGGTTGGTAAGCTACATGGTTTGATAGTAAGTATGTTGGTTGGATGGCTGGTTGGTTGATTAGTTGCTTTGTTATTTAGTCAGTTAGTCATCTGGTCATTTGGTTGGATGGTTTGTTGATTGGTTGATTTATTGGCTGGATAGTTGGTTGAATGATTTGTTGTTTGGATATTCTGGAAGGAAAGTAGTTTGTTTGGTCGATGAATTGGCTGGTACATCGGTTGGTTTGATGGCTGGGTGGTTTTTGGTATGTAAGTCAGTTGGTTAGTTAGTTGATTGGTTGGATGGCAAATTGATATGTTGGTTTGTTGATCAATTGACTGATGGTTGGATGGCTGGCTGGCTAGCTGGTTGATGGATGGATGGATGGTTGGTTGAACGGTTAGTTACATTAAGACCAGGTCAGCCCTCTCTTAATCGTGTACTTGTCTAAATAGTCATTTATGTCCTAATCGACTTCTTTCGTACATTTTTAATATTTGAAACCATTGTTCATGCCGGTTGACAAATTTGTTTAAGAAACTCAGTTGATCAAATATTTATTAAATCAACTTATATATTGTCAACAACGTTTTATGAGTTTTAAACAACCAACAAGCCAACAGCGATAATTAAGACTTTATTGAAGAATTTGAGTAAAATATAGAAAATGGATCAAAAAAGTGTTCCGTTTTTTTTTCATTGGATTCAATTTACAAAGGACAGTAAAAGTCTGTTGTCAGGAAAACATTAAAACATTTTCCGTTTTAAAAGTGCGGCATTTCCTTCTGACTCCATCGATTCAAAAGACTCACATTTTGTCAAAGCTCTTTTGAAACTGAAAACATGAAAAGCAAATATTAACTATGTGCATTAAAGGGAAGCGTTAATGCTCCCAGGTGAACTCAAAGTGCGGGGTGCGCAGCTTGTGAGGATCCTCAGGTGCTTGATGTCCGGCTTCAGAGGGAGCTGCAGCCTCAGCACCGAGCAAGCACAAAGCTCCAGTTCTGCTTCCACGGAAGTTTAAATGTTGGAAACGATCCTGTCGCTGTGACAGGAAGTGAAGAGTGTGCCGGCCTCAGCAGGAAGTGGAGCTCACTGGGGGAGATGTATGAATGAATATTTTAGGCTGGGAACAGCATGGAGTCTGGAACAAATGTAGCGTAGCTTTTTTTTTTCCGGGAACGGCAGAAACAGCGGAGAGGCAAACATGTTTGTAAAGAAGCTCCGGAGCCAGGAAGAAGCAGTGCGATTGCGGTGAAGAGAAGGAATGTAAAAGTGAGGCAAGATTATTTGATCTGCACCCTGTAAATGGCTTCAATCTCCTAAAAGTGGATAAGAGAGGAGCAAAGGCAGAGCTCCTCTGAAGAGTGAACAAACATGATTGGATTTCGGTCCCTAAATTGAGGAGGACCAACCACAACACATTTTGTTCTAGCAAGCACTAGTAGGGTGTCTTTAAGAGCAGAGGGGCTGGAAAGTGGCTTTTAGGGAGTCAAGGAAACATGTGGTGGAGAATTCATCGTTCGTGCAGCAGAAACACACTGCAGACGCCATTTAGAAACCAATATAAATCATTGTTGTAATTTGAATGGTTTGGATTCCAGTCCAAAACACAATCACACCAAGTTACAAGTGTTTATTTGTTCCGTGCATTTATAGAGTTCGTGTAACATCTGTGTGTTTGGATAACCTTAGAGTAGCATTGGGAATACATGCTGGTTTACCGTTAGCTTAAGAACCATTTATTATGGTCAGAGTATGAAACATTTATCATTGTATGAACATTAGAAGGTTGAGGTAAGATGGTGCAATTAAAAATGAATACAAATGGTTAAAATTGTTAAACGTAAGAAGTAATTAAAAATTGAAATATAATATAAATGAATTCTAAATTAATTAATACAAACATAGTCCAATAAAACATTTAATAAAATAAAAAACTATTTATATAAAAAATAAGAAGTTCAAGTAAAGTCGCTCTAAAGATGTGTTGTCATGGAACCAACTCAAAGTATATTGATTTAACCCAAAAAGTCGTTCAAAAAACAAGATGATAAATGAGATAAGAGATACTTTATTGATCCCACATTGGTAAAGGTGTTGGGTTGCATCCGCATACAAAACTAAACAAGGCATTGCCGATAAGTAGAAATTAAACATGCACAAATGTCCAGTCTGAGCCGCAGACCTTTGCATCGAAATGTTGTGTAGTACTCTGTTGTTGTTGTTGTTGTTCTTCTTTTATTTCCTACACCTCATGATGACAGGTGACAGACCCGTTAGCCTTTAGCTTAGCCTGCGCAGCGGAAATGTTTAATGATAGCTTCCTGCTCCCTGAGTGCAGCAGGTCAGGAGAACCAGTGTTGGCTGTCAGGCGCTCTGCAGATTTATGAGTGTGTCTAATATCCATAATGTGAGGTCAAGACATCACTTAATGTGAGCGCTGTGGGGGCGCAGCCATGTCTGCATCTTCAGCAGAGGGGAAGGAGCTGCTGCTGACGAGGAGTTGTGTTGGTAGAAAGTTGCACATATGGAAATATTTGTAAACCAATTTTCAGGAGAAACTATTATTTAAAAAATACAAACTGAATTGATTACAAGGAATAAAAGAACATTTGACAAATGACTGGACATTTATTTAAAATAAAATATATATATTGTAGATATAGTAGATTTAAACAGGGGATTTAATTTGGTGTATCACGGCGCAAACATAGACACTGTAATGGGAGTTAAGAATTTGCAAATAAAGAATTCTAAATAAATAATTTAATCATTTGTAAATATTATTAATAGAAAAATAAAACATGTGAAATTGTCAGTCTTTCAATTCAAGCTGCAGTTTTGAAAGTATGTTCTTGCTGTTCTATTTCCTGTCTTTGCTATTTCATTATCGAAACCACATTACTGGTGATTATTAATCAAAATCTCACTGTGTAAATATTTAGTTGAACAATCAAATGTTGTCAACATATCAATATCACAGTGTTTAATCTAAGATTGTGTGATGTATTGTTGTGTTCACATCGCCCAGTCCTACTTCCTCCTCCTATCTCTGGCAACATGCTAGTTCTGCAGTTTGCTGTTGTTTCCAAAGCTCCTCACAGATAGTGTTGCTGCCTCTTTAACCCTGTCCTTCTCCCTGTCCCTGCAGCCTGTGAGCTGATGAACCAGGGCATCTTGGCGTTGGTCACCTCTACAGGATGTGCCTCAGCCAGCGCTCTGCAGTCTCTGACGGACGCAATGCACATCCCTCACCTGTACGTCCAGAGGAGCAGCGAGGGCTCTCCGCGCACCGCCTGCCCCTTCAACCCCAGCCCGGGGGGGCACAGGTACACGCTGTCCGCCCGGCCGCCCGTCCGCCTCAACGACGTGATGCTCACGCTGGTGGAGGAGCTGCGCTGGCAGAAGTTCATCATCTTCTATGACATCGAATACGGTGAGTGAGCGACGGAGGTCCAGACGCCGATCTGGATCTTCTGGGTCCTTTAAAGGTCTCATATTATGCTATTGTTAGGCATATAGTATGGGTCTCAGATATATACAAATATTCTTCTGGGTTGTTGTCGAAGGAAAACAGAAGAAGTTTGGCTCTGTTATTGGAAGCTGGAGGATCTTAAACATCTTCAACATGTGGTCCATTTGACCTTAAACAGCTAAACAACGGCGTATCTTCCATCAACAAGTCTTTGATTCATTGGCTAGTTGATTGGTTTCCTGTTTAGTGACTCTCTTAATTGAAGGAACTGCTTTTCTGGGCCTAAAGTTGAAACTACTGACTGTTGTTGAGGACATTCCACAGAAGCTTAGTAGACATTGTAACATTTACAATCGTGTTGATGAACTTCTGGAGCTGCGCTGGCAGAAGTTCATCGTCTTCTACGACATCGAATACGGTGAGTGAGAGACGGAGGGTCCAGACGCAGAGCTGGAGCTTCTGGGTCCTTTTAAAGAGTTGATGTTGAGATGTTTCTGGAAACGCTGAGGGAGGATCAGCTGCTGAGAATTTGGATCTGTTGTCAAAGGAAAACAAAATAAGTTTTATTGGAAGCTGGATGATCCTAGAAATCTGAACCATTTGATACATTTTACTTTTAACAGCTAGAAACGTTATATTTTCCATCAAAAACTCTTTGTAATAGATAGTTTCCTCCATACAGAACTGTTAGGAATGGTAAAAGTTGATTGGACGCCTGTTTAGAGACTTTTTAATTGGGAGAACTGGTTTTTCTGGCCCTGGAAAATAAAACATTGAGGTCTTCTGACTGTTGTGAGGAAAGTCTGTTGAAGAATGGGTGCCAATTCCTCTATTGTGATTCTGAAGTGAAGAAATTGTTGTTTTTCTAGAAGCTAGATTATCTTAGAAATCAGTCAAACGTGGTCCTTTCTCACATGCTGTGGTATGAGTAACATTTCCAATCATTTTGTGACCAAAAAAACATTTAGAAATGTGGGAAAAGCAAGAAACTTCAGATCCTTAGAGACTTTCAATTGGAAAACTGGTTTTGTGGCCCTAGAAAACATTGAGATCTTCTGACTGTTGTGAGGATGGCTCTAGTGAAGAATGGCTTCAGCTTAATCTACCGTGACTCTGAAGTGAAGACATTGTTGTTTTTGTGGAAACTAGATTGTCTTAGAAATGTGTAAAATGTGGTGTATTTGAGATCTGGGAATGTGTTGTCTTAGAGGTGCTTTAAGTTCAAGATGAATCAGCCACTTACAAGTTATCCAAAGCATCGACAGCAATGATACTCATCCCGATAACTTTGGATTATTGTCTGGAAACTTTGGCCGTGTTTGTTTCACAGATACCTGAGCGTTGCCTCACCCCCCCCTGTTGAGGGATGATGCCACACACTGCTCTTCTGCTGTTTGAACTCTACAGGACGCCTGGTTCTTGTTTGGGTTTCAGCAGCGAGGTTACTTTAACATTCTGTATAAGAACAAGCATCCCAGCCTCTCAAAGAACCAGCGCTCTGCAGAGAAGCTCCTCAGGTGGTAACATATGCTGCTTTTTCTACCTTTGGAGTCTTCGCTCAAACTCTGCATGTCTGAGTCTAAACACACTTTCTGAAACGCCTTGTTAGAGCGTTTGTTCTGGGCGTTTCTCTTGTCTGAACTGAGGCTCTAAGATGGAGCAGATTTTAAAGCCCTTTGTAGCAAACATTGACATGTCTTTAAAGAATACAAACAACCCTGTTTTATATTCCATATTTGAAGTAGAATCTATTGATTTCAAGAGCAAAACAGTTCCAGGAATGGTCCCTAACCCTAACCCTAACCCTAACCAACATATTCAGGGGAATGTGCAAAATGGTCGGACAGATGTGCGAATAAATGTGCAAACGTGGAAATGTTTCAGTCTGCGCTCAAACTCTGCATGTCTGAGTCTCAACACACTTTCTGAAGCACCAAGTTAGAGCGTTTGTTCTGGGCGTTTTTTTTTATCTGCATGATGAGCGTGTTGTCTGCTTGATGTTATAGCCCTAGGAGGCAACGTCTTGATTTTTGGCTGCACAAAAAGCATTGACGTGACTTCTCTTGTCTGTGGAGGCTACAGACAGCCCTGTTTTTATTCCATATCACTAGAAAATATTCGGCTTCGAAGTTCCACATCGTGCAACATGTTCAGATAGATGTACAGACCAGGGTTTCCGTTAGCCGGTAATTACCGGTTTTTAGCTGGTAAAATGTATTAAAAACCGGTAAATTCAAAACCTGCCGGTCAAAATGTCTGGTAATAATTAGGAAGGCTCCGATAGATCGGCCACCGGTCATTATCGGCCGATATTCACTCTTAATAGTTTGATCGGTGCTCTCTATAAAGGCCGATCAGGAGAGCTGGATCTGATCGATATGGACATAAACGCGAGTGAAGTATAACCGGACGCGAGAGAGAGATCAGATCAGCTGCTGAGTCAGACCGAGACAAGCAGCTCTGCATAATCACCTGAAGCCCCGCCCTCTGTTTAGCTGCATGAGAAACTGACGGGCTGTCAGGAGAGAGAGAGAGGGAGAGGGGAAAAGAGAGCATCCGTTTCTCCCGTGTGATTATTCAAAGTTAATGTAAACTTTTGAATAATGTACGTTATCTACTACAAGTAGTTTGTTTGAATGTAATAATTATGTTGTTTGTGGAATAATTTATTGAAAAATGGATCTGAATTGTTCGATCTGTTACGATTATAGACTGAAGCAATATAAAAATGAGCCCCGTGAACTGAGTTTTAAACTGAAGCATATCTGCTCATAGTCCGGTAATTACCTGCTAACGGAAACTCTGCTACACAACTCTTACTATTATTATTGAAATATGACCGGTAAGTTTCAAATGTATCCGGTAAAATAAATTCTGCCCGGACATTTGACCGGCGAGAAAAAATCCTAGCGGAAACCCTGGTACAGACATGTGCTAAATAGTCAGATACCTTGTTGGGAAAGTTGTTTTTGGGGATTCTCTTTTGTCTGATTTAAGGGTTTATGTGCACCGTGTTGTCTGATACAGATGTTTAAGCCCTTGAAGGCCTCTTCTTGATCTTTGGCTGCACAAATAACATTAACGTGACTTTTCTTGTCTTTCGAGGCTACAGACAGCCCTGTTTTTATTCCATACCACCAGAAATATCTCTGATTCAAAGTGCTAAATCTTGCAAAATCGTTACAAGATGTACAGAAATGTGCTAAATAGTCAGATACCTTGTTGGGAAAGTTGTTTGAGGCATTTTCTTACCTTTTACGACAACAAATAGCCCTGTTCTTATTCCATATCTGCAGAGAACTCTATTGATTTAAACCTGGAGCATGCATTATACCCACAGCACTCCTCTTGTTGCATATCTATTGACATCCTCTTCTGGAAACCTGAGTCCACCTGAAGTTGTAACCGCACATGAACTACATGAAGACAACAAGCACTCGGCCGAATGATTTTCAATGATGTTGTTTTCTAGCCTCGGGAACGTTTCTATGTCCTGATTTTGCAGCAGAACGTGAGACATTAGCTGACTGGGACTGTATCGTAATGAAATCACATTAGATCCAATGGACTCGTGAACGTAATCGATACAGGATGGTGGCAATTACAATACAAGGATATAGACGGAGGCAGGCATTTCACCCCTCAGACTCTCATCCAGAGTGATGGAGGGTAGCTGCTCCAGAGCCAGAGGATCCTTTCAGACGGAAACCAGGGCACAGGTAACATGGTTCTGAGTGGCTGGGAGATGTGGACGTCTTTAAATGACAGCTCAGGGACTTCTGTAGTTCGAGGCACAAATCATGTTTGTCATTTGAATGATTTGGATTCCCCTCCAAAACACAATCACACCAAGTGTTTATTTGTTCTGTGCATGGATAGAGTTTGTGTGTTTAGATAACCTTAAAGTAAGTAGCATTGGTCTTGCTATGTTAACCGTTAGCTGAAGTTAAATAAAAACGTAAAGATTGTTCAACATAAGAAGTTCCAGTAAAAAAGTGAAATTAGAATAATAACAAATTCTAATAAAATGAAAACAAACACAGTCAAATAAAAAATAAAATAAAATGTATTTATATAAAAATAAGAAGTTCAAGTAAAGTCACTTTAAAGAATGTCTGTCATGGTACCAACAAACAAAAAGATAGTTTTAAACCAAAATATGTTCCAGAAACAAAATTATAATAAATGCAGCAATGACTCAGCATCGACAGGTTGTGTACTACTCTGTTGTTGTTGTTGTTGTTGTTGTTGTTGTTGTTGTTGTTGTTGACACGTGGCCGGCTGAGAGTACAGGGACAGCTCAGGGACTTCTGTAGTTCCAGGTTTCTTTAAATGTGCTCAAATTCCATTTTAAGGATAGCTTTGGAAAGCCACCGTTGTTGAACCACTTCTCGATCTTTCTGAAAGCAAAATGATATTATTGATTCCTGAACGTCTTCCAGTCTGTGTGCGTCACTCTTTAGTGTCCCCTGGTCTCCTAGCTGTGTGCGTCACTCTTTAGTGTCCCCTGGTCTCCAGCTGTGTGCGTCACTCTTTAGTGTCCCCTGGTCTCCAGCTGTGTGCGTCACTCTTTAGTGTCCCCTGGTCTCCCAGCTGTGTGTGTCACTCTTTAGTGTCCCCTGGTCTCCAGCTGTGTGCGTCACTCTTTAGTGTCCCCTGGTCTCCCAGCTGTGTGCGTCACTCTTTAGTGTCCCCTGGTCTCCCAGCTGTGTGCGTCACTCTTTAGTGTCCCCTGGTCTCCAGCTGTGTGCGTCACTCTTTAGTGTCCCCTGGTCTCCTAGCTGTGTGCTTCACTCTTTAGTGTCCCCTGGTCTCCAGCTGTGTGCGTCACTCTTTAGTGTCCCCTGGTCTCCAGCTGTGTGCGTCACTCTTTAGTGTCCCCTGGTCTCCCAGCTGTGTGTGTCACTCTTTAGTGTCCCCTGGTCTCCAGCTGTGTGCGTCACTCTTTAGTGTCCCCTGGT